ATAAAAGGAACAGAGAGAAAGGCTGATGCAGTGACTCAAATCTTAACAGAGAGCAGGTGAGCACAACCTCAGGGCAAAACAACTGGAAATGTGTTCATTGGTTCTGCTTCTTATAGAGCTCCCAATTACATGGTGCACAGGTAACAACCTACTCCTGAACAAAGCAAAAAGGTGTGAGATTTGAGAACAGTACCTGCAAAGACTTCTGAGGAGTTAAAAAAAAAAATACAAGTTTTTCATATTTCAGGCATTTATTTATTTGAAATGTAGCATAGGCTTAGCTAAAAAAGGCAAGAGCCAACATCACCCTGCAGAAGAGAGCAAAGCCTAAAAATAAATTCATGCAACTGTTTCACCTGTCTTCTACATAACTCTTATCACCAAACACCTATCACTCAGACTTATCTAGCCCTCTCCTTTCCTTTTCCACATTCCCCCAGCCCACCTACTCTGGCACTGCACCTCAGCGAGGCTTTGGGTTTTCTTTTTGTTTTTTTCACAAGCCTCTTGTTACTTGTACATCAGAAGGCGCTTTGCGCCCATGGCAAGTAACAGTTACTAATGCCAATTCCTTTCAAAGTTTAATTACTTGCAAGCCAATTTTATCACATCACCTGTAAGTGAACACATACTATCACAACTTACTGGACTGATCAAGGTGTGCACATAACCAAGTGAATCCATGATCCTACTATTTCAGATTGACCTACCCTTTCCCCCTCCAGTCTCTTTCTATTTGCATATGATTAGCAGCCCAAAGTTTCTGCAACTGACTTTACGTGGCAGGCCTTTGAACTCAGGTCCTGAACTTTGACAATGTACTTATGTCTTTTGATTAAGCAGATATCAAATCTTGCTGTGTTCAGAATTAATAATATCACAGTGCCAGTAAAATGGCTGGCCTGACAAGCAGGCAAAAAAACCTTGAGAAATATTTCAAGTAATTGTTTCAGAAGAACAAGTTATAATTTATGACTTAGGTAAACAAAGGGGGTTTTTTTCATTATTTGAAGCACCTGTACATCTAACACTTCAGAAGAAAACTGTTTAGTGTAAGACTTACATAAACAGTACATATTTACCAGTTTTATGACAAACAAGGCTCTTCAGGGTATTTTCACAGTAGGCATCTAAGAAGTTATCTGAAGATCAGCTCCTCCATCCCTCGCTTCCTAAGTAGCGGCCAACTCTCTCTAGTGACTAGGTAGGGATTATTGAGGCAGCCTTAATCAGACTTCTTCACTTCACTATACTGTTATGCAAGCTCCTCCATATAAGAAGATCAGTCCCAATTCACAAGCGCCACACCTCCAAATGCTAGACAACCTCCTACTTTATTGTCTGTACTTAGAAAACAGAAAGAAGAAACTCAAAAGGCTATGAAAACAAATGCAAACCAGTACATAATTCATGAACGGAATTATTTTACAAATACTGTTCTTTAAGAAATTTAAGAAATTATTTTATCTAACCATCAAAAGCAGAAAGTTTCCTTCTCAGAATGGCATAACACTAACAAGGAATGTCTTGCTACCAGGATCTCTCTCAAGCATTCGTCATCTCTCCCTGTTGAGCATCACATTTCCCTTCTTTCTAGAGGTGGCACATGGGACGGTGTCAACATCCAACAACATCCAACTATTCCGTTAAGTTCTGATCTTCCTACTGAAGGAAGAGCAGAAAGCTTTAGGGAATGTTACCATGGTCCAGGAGGCTCCTGAAGCAGTCTGTGAAGTTTTTTGGACACGTGATAGCTTGATACATGGTCATTAACTATGGCACCTAATGCATCTTTCCTCAGGTGGGTAAGCTTCAGAAGGACTCACAGACAGCTACAGGTTGGATGACAGAATACGAAAGAGATGCAGGCTGACTCAATCAAACACAAAACATTTAATAAAGCTGCAGCTCAAGTGCTGGTTTCAGTCTCAACCAACAAGAAGAGAAAAGAAATTGAGATATGGTTCATGAGGGAGAGTTACTACTTTTCTGCAGGATCAGGAGATGGATTTTATCCTCTTCTCATATATACAAAAAAGCAAATCTGAAATGCTGTTACATTTCTCATCTTCTAAGACTGCAATAAGAGTATCCATCTGCTTCTTCCCAACTGCTCTCCCTCAGTGCTGACCAAACTACAGATGTCACAGACCTACAGCAAACAAGACCCACGCTCCAGGTTTAGCAGTGAATAAAAACGATTTGAAAGCATGATGCTATCTCAACTTTTAAAAGCGAATTTGTGGATATCAAGAGCCTATAAGCTCCTATAAACCCTACATGCTTTATTCTTATCCCCAAAGGGAAGCAGGTAGAAAACCCTTACCATCACAAATCTGCTGTCTACACATACTCCTATGAATTACCAGGAACAACACCTGTTACACAAAACTCAAACACCAACATTCAGCTCCCCCATTAACCGCACTACCTCAATCAACAGTCCTCCTAACGCTTGCCCAAACCACACCATAACAACTCTGTAAGGCTCTGAAGCTCTTCCCCTACCTTAATCTCTCAGAAACATCAGCCACCTTTATCTGCTCCTGAATACGGACCCACCCCCACCAACCTGTACCCTGAAGCCTCCTAAAGCCCACTAGCTCACCTCTGTACCTTCACCAGCCCACATACCCAAGGACCCATCCCATATCCATCCTGTTCCACTCACCACATTACACACACCCAAACTCTATTCACCCCTCTCCTCCCCCACATTAAGAGTCCCCAAACCCCCCAAAGCACCTCCCTCCCACACTCTTCAATAAACCCAGACACCTTGAAAGCCACCGCCCTCACCAGGGCACTCTTTCGTACTGACAAGCCTCCCCATACACCTCTCAAGCACCCAGACACCCCCAAATCTTACTCCCATCCCACAGGTCCCAAACCTTCACGTTATCCCAGCTCACCTCAAGACATTCCCAGCCCAACGCAAGCCCTCCTCAGTGTCCCAAGTCCTCCTCCCCCTACACCCCTCAAGCACCCCAAGGAACCCCCAAATCCTACATCCCTACCCCAGGATCCCGACCTCCAACACACACATCACCCCTTGCTCACCCCCACCCCATCCCCACATCCCCCAAGACCCCAACTCCCCTCACCCCCTCCCCACACCCTCCTTCAACCACCCCAAACCTTACTCCCCTGCCAGCGGACCCCACAGCCTCACATTACCCCAGCTCACCCCCTCAGGGCCCATCTCTCCCCCCTCCAGGCTCCCTCAAACACCACACACACCCCAGAGCGGCAGGACTCAACCCCGCCCCGCCACCCCCATCTCCCCGGGGACCCAGAAGGGGACTGAGGAGGAAGAGGAGAGGAAAAGCCCCTTCCACCCCCGGGACCCCTCCGCCGCTCACCTTCCCCCAGGCCGCTCTCGTCGGCGGCGGCGGCAACACCACAACACGCCCCGCCCCGCCCCCTTCCGCCCACAGAGACGGCGGGTAGAGTGTCAACGGCGCGGGGCACGCCGGGACGGCGGAGGCCGGTTCGAGGGCCCGTTAGAGGAGCCGCCATCCCGCTCCACGTACTCACCTCACCCCGGGTGAGGGGAATGGCGTGGGGGTGGCGGTCAGGCCCCGGAGGGCCGGGCTTGGGCCTTGGTCTGTCGGTGGTGGCTAGAGCCAGGCTGCGGGCTGTGGTGATTCCCTGGGGGCTCCCTCCGGGCCGGGGCCGCGGCCCTGAGGCCTGCCGCGGCCCGCCGCAGAGCGGACCGCGGGCGGCCGTCACGCAGGGTCGGGGCCGTAGGCTCGGCCTGAAGATGAGCCCCAGGCGCGTTGTGGAAGGGCTGGGAGGTCAGGGCGTGTGGGCGGTGGGTGCCGTCTCGGCGGGGAGCAGTCGTCCAGCCGAGGCTGTGGGAGACGCACCGGAGCCCACCCAGGAGCCAAGGGGGGTGGGGAACGGTGAGGTTTTGGACACGCAAGTCGAGCGTGAAGGACTCTTACCAGGCTCTTCTGGAAGCCATTGGTTGAAATAAAACTTAAGCTCTCTAGCCGAGTCCTTGTGCTGGTGCTTCGAGAGGAACTCTGTACCGTTGCGCATCCCAGGTGACAGATGGGATTCCTTTTTTTTGATTAAGAGCTGCTGCTGAAGATGAACTGGGATTCAAAGTAGATTATCTTCTTCCTTCCTTCTGGTGGTGCCAGGCATAGGAAAAAGTCAGGAAGCTCTGTCTCTGGAAGGATACCTGTGCCTCATTGCAGGCGTTGCAGCAGTAACACACCGCAAACTGTCTTCTCCCAGGACGTTCATCTGAAAAAACAGCAGAGTAAAAAGCGCAAATAAATAAATCTGTTACTGAACATGGGAACCCTGAATTCACAAATCTTCACATGGTGACATTATCCGAGTGTAATCAAGTTGTTGCTATTTTTAAGCAATTAGGGTTAGGCTTATCCACCATGTGCAGTGGATAACCATTGATGTTCTGCTGTTGCTGACAGCTTCTACTCATCAAAACATTTCATCATGCTGGTGCAGATCTACCTTGTTTCACAATCTGATTTCATCCCCACTGAGGGTTGCTGCTTTGGATTCTTCCTGTTGGTGAAATGAAATATCCTGCTTTAGGGGAAAAATGTATTTGGGATTCTGGGGAACAGCAATAGATCAGCTTAATTCCAAATACTTCTTTCATCCATGCAGGATGTTGTTTGCCCATTTCCTGTAGTGTGGGGGATTTTGGTCTTTTTCACTTTAAAAGGAACATCTCTCTGTTTGCCAGCACCACCAAAAGAAATAGATGTGTTGTCTGGTAGGCTTTTTCCTCCCATTTTTAGACCTTTGTTAGGAAGGTGGTGACCCTCCTACATGCAAGTCCACAATGCAGCAGGTAGCACCGACTACTCGGCAGTTGCTGCATCTGTACTCCAGGTGTGTTTGAGGCAGCTGTGCTGCTGCTGAAGCCAGCATTCTTCTCCCTGTGAGTGGCAAAGGCCTGTGCACCATTGCTGTTACACTCTGTTAACAGCAGCTGCACTTTATTAGTAGGCAGAGGCAAACCTGTTAGGGATCTTAGGGTGTCATAATCTGTTTGCTTGTTTCACAAGTTCTTTTGAGGAGCTGGCTAAAATCTAGCTGCGTGGGGATTTGTTAGCCCAAGACAGCCATCCTTTGAAAGCACTAGAGACTCCAGCCTTTGCCCCCCTCTTTTACTCTTCCAGCTCTTCAATATTCAAGATACTTACGTGGCCAGAAGACTGAGCAGGGATATCGCTTAGGCAGTGACTGAATTGCTACTGGCCCAGGAGGGATAAGCAGACAGAAGTTGTGTCAGCACTGCACAGCAGAAATTATGTTTGATCGTGCTCATCTTGACTTAGTGACAAAAACCTTCCTGCTACCCGTACCTGCTAATACAGTACAAAATGCAAGGTTCCTGTCCTTTACAGAGACTGGAGGGTTGATTTACAAATTCATTGTATGTTCAGAAGTGAACTCCTTATGTTATTGTAGCTTAGCAGCATCCCAATGAATGACAGCCAGCGCTTTGCAGGGCTCCATCTTACTGACTACACCGAGTTGTAGCACAAGAGTAGCTCAGACGATTGGAAGATACAGGTTCCTCCAGGCAATGCTTTGCAACTTCTTGTAGGCAGAGCCACTGTCGTTCTTTCCCAGTACCTGCTGTCAGAGCAAATGAGGAGCCCAACAAGTAAAAATGCTGAAGCACTGCCACTCTGTCAGTAGGGCTGCACTGACCACCAAATGCTCCCTGTCTTTCCAGTTGCTCCACCAGTCTGCTACTGGTCACCCAAGATTGTTCCTCTTTGCAGTAGGCAGTGGATCTGGGACGAGAAGTTTGAAGGCTGAGTCCAAACAATTATAAAGAAAAAATGTTTCCATCTACATCAGCAGTGATCTACCCACTGGTGCTGAAGAGAAAGGAAACAAAAAGCTGATTTTTCTTTTGCAACAACTCCAGCTGTAAGAAATTAGAACAGTGAAGCACAGAGCACTGATACTGAATGTCCAAAGAAAACAATGTTACTTGCAGACAGGCTTGAACCAGATAAGCTGAGATGATCTGTATCCCATATGAGAAGCTTTGCCAGGGAATTTGAAGCCAGTGTTTGCTTCCATCTTGAAGCAGCACATCCTCACATCAAAGACAAAACTATAGAGTAAAGCATAGACTGAGGATTTGGGGCAAAAGAAAAAAAAAAAAATCATCCACCACTGAATAATAGAGTGTTTGAAGAATCTTTCTGTGTTAACCACTGCATTGACGGTGCATGAAAACCTCAGCTGTTGAAGAGCTGTTTTACCTGTCAGCTGAGAGCTGGTGATAGCTGGTGTTAGCAAAAACAACCCAGACAGAAAACTACTTACCGCTACTCAGACTATTCAATTTTTTCCACTTCGCATGTGAAGTAACTTAAAGATATTAAAAAAAACAAACAAACAAACAAAACACACACAAAAAAAAAAACCAAACAACCAAACCCAGGGCACAGTCTGAAACCAGAGCGGCTCCTGGTTTGCCACCTAGCCAGGCCAGTTTACTGATACTGAATGTGAGGTGGTGGAAGATGGTCACATTGATAAGAGGTGACAAAGCAGGTAAACTGAATATATTTTAAGGTTTCCTTCTCCGAGGTGATGTGGAGTGGGGTTTGCATACATTAGACATGGCACATTCAGGGTCAGGCAGCCTGGCCGAGCGGTTTATACAAAATCATGCAGTAGTCCCTAAATCCCCAGCAAGCTGTGGAAGTGCCAGCCAACATGAGCAGTGCCTTGCTGTGAAAATAACTTGCTGTTGTTTCACTGAATGAGTTTTTACACTTTCATCTCTTGCATTAAATGCAAATTCTCTTCTTATTGCCGTGGCACGGTGGTAAGAGGCAGGGTACTCATCCACTCATTTCAGAAAAAGCATGATTTTTTTGACTGACCTTCTGTTTGAATTATCATGCCAGCCACAAAACAAAGGACTGCTTTATTAGATTGCTCGCCTTTGGGATTTTCTTGTGATTTAATGATCCTAGCCATGACTGAGAAAGAACAGAGCATGGCAAATATGAAAACTTTCACTAAGAGATTTAAATTAAAATAGAAGAAAACACACTGACATGCAAAATCCTTGATAGCTTTCTGGATGAATACAAGCTGGCATTTGACGGTGATGTTAAAAACAAAATAGACATAATAGCTTGTTAGAGCTCAAATGTCTTCACGAGTACTTCCTGGGTGAGCAAGAGTGCTGGACATGGATCCCGCTTTTAGAAGGTCACAGTATTGGTTCCAAGGTAAACAGTTGGAATTATCCAACTGATAGCACACAGCTCTGCTTTAAAAGAAAGGTATGCCCTAATCTGAAAGAGAAGGCTATTACAGTCTTTATGCCTTTTGCAACCACTTATTTATGGTATGTGGATATACCATGTGTGTGTATGAATAGTAGAGCTAAACCACTGTTGTATATCCTAGATATGCAAATAGTGAATCCAAGCCATTTGCAAAATGGGAAAGTATGTGTAAGATTAAACCCTTCTCAGCATGCTCAATTTTACACATGTCCAGTAATCACAGCCTCAATGAAAATATGTTTGAGGGGATTAGTCATTTTCTGAATGGAGACTTGATGTCTTACCCAAGATAATGGATCATGATGCTCCTCTGATAATGGCTGGCAAGGCAAGGTCACTCAAGACCCTGGTCTGTAGCCAGTGTTTCTTCTGTAGCTGCCACATTTCTCTCCCACATTATCAGCAGGGTGACAGGCTGTCATGAGAGACATCATTAAACATTTTGCATTACCAACACATCAGCATAAGACAGTGGCTGAGCACTACAGACAAGTATAAACACGTAGTAAAGCCAGTCTCTGAATCACATAGTAATGCTCATTTCATTACTTCCCAAAACATCCATGATGGAGGAACATAAGAAGCAAAGTATTAAATTTTCATTTCCTAGGAATTTGGAAAGTAGATTTGTTAACTTCTAGAACAGCTTATTTAATATTGTAACAGGAGGTAAAGACTTCTATTTGCTCTACATTATTGTAGAAAAACATGTCATAATTTGTAATCTAAATCCTCAGTTTTGTGAGCATTTGATGAACACATGAAAGGTTTATTTGTCTGACTACCCTCACTGCGCTGAATGCATCTCATCACATGCATTTAAGAAATGTAATGTTGGTTTGTATAAACATTCTCAGGATATAGGGTTTGTTTTAAACATAATATGAGAAGAGTCAATAAACAATTATTCAGCTTTGTCATATTCATGTTAATTGTTTATTGTTAATAAATAAATAATATCGTAAGGGCAAACAAGCAGGGATACTGATTCAGACGGAATGCACAAGTAGCCCACTGCCCTGTTTCCAAAAGTGTCCATAAGCAGGTATCAAAGACAGAATAAGTCATACTTGCCCCAACAACTACAGTTTCCTACTACTT